CTCTTCAATAAAAAAAAAAAAAAAAGAAACCAAAAAAACCACCACCAGAAACTGAGAAGCTAAAAAGGCCAAATGTCCTGGAAAGGCATAAATTTGATATGTGTATAAGTATGAAAAAACCCCCAAAGTTATAGCAAATGATGTATTTCAAATAACTGGCTTATTATCCCCCCAAATGTAACACTGACTTTCAAACGCTGGCAAGCTATACCTAAGCATTAATAGCTACAATACGAAAGTTTGATAACAAGCTTTTTTTCCAAAACACATATGCACAGTGCCAAAAGGTCTTTCAGAACACAATTTTTAAAGGGGAAAAAAAAAAAATTATCCTTACTTGATGCAGTGTATATGCGGGAAGCTTAGTTTTTTCACTCAAAAGGCTTGCCGCCCTCCCTGTAGGTGCAGTAAATAGTACATTCAACATTTTTTTTGCGTACATATTCTCTGACTCCAAATGATGATCAAAAGTATTCCATTCCTCAGATGCATCCAAGTCTTCTTCAAAGTCCTTAGAAGCAGCTTCCACTTCTTTTTCCATCTGCTTTAAGTGACGAAAAAGGCAGCTAACTATTGTGCTCTTTCCACAGCCTCCTTTACCACTGATGATTGTGACAGGATTAGAACAAATCTTTTCCACAGCAATCACTTGCTCTAAGTCTACCTCTGGTTCACTTTGGGTACCAGACACAGACCCCACTTCGTTTTCAAGAAAGTGATTTTCACCATTATGATTGTCCAGGCTATTTTCCTTCAGATGTTCTATTTCATGATCCTGGGTAATACTCGTTTTGTTATCTACTACTTCTCTTGATGTCTCAGAAACATTAAGTACCTTTCTCACATCAACATCCAGTTGCCACGAATGGTTTGACAGAAGGTTACCTATATACATTGCAATGTCTTTTTCAGATTTGTAAAGATGAGGCAGAAACACCAGTTTTTTCTCCCTAATCACTATGTTCTGATCTTTCAAAAATTCAAGAGATTGCCAAGCATGCTCAATGGACATATCTTTAGATACAAAACGAGCTAATTCATCTTGATCTTCGTACGTGTGTCCCATTTCTCTACACTTTTTCTTGAGTTGATCATACAGAATTAATGCATTCTTCTGCAATTCAGGAATCTTCCGGAGGAGATGTTCACACTGACAGAAGGCGGCCCACGTTGCCTCACAGTAAGAAAGGTTCAGTTCCCTATAGGTGATCTTCTCCCCAAAAAGAATAAAATCAAACATATATTTATTTCAGAAGATGTTAGTCTCTTGCTGGATAACACTCCTCCTAGCAAATACAAACTGCAATTCAGAGGGTGGAAGTCTACAAAAAAAAATTTTTTTTTTTCATAATGTAGAAAGTTATAATGGTTTTCAAGCTGTACGAAAGCAAGATATTTAAAAGTAAGATGGAATGATAATTCCTCCCAGCCACCCCTTCATATAAAATGAAAAGTTTAAAAATCAAAAACCTTGCAGAAAAATTGGGCATTAGGAAGAACTTGCGCTCACCTAATTAGCACAATTTCAAGTAAAGGCACAAAAAACCCCTGTCAAAACAGAGCATAGGAAAGCCATTAGCCAGAACATTGTACCCAAAATACTGTACCCAATTCTGAACATGCTACTTCAAGAAACACACAACCTACTGCAGAATAGTGAAAGACTGAGATGTGCAAAAAAAGACAAATTATTGAGGAAATGAAAAATTAATTGGACCTGATGAGCCTTAAGAGAAAAAGCTCAAGACAGTCTTCAAGCAATAAAAAAACTGCAGTAGAATGCAGATCCTTGGTACAAGCAACAAGAGAGCAGCAAGTCTATACTGCATCAAGGAATAGTCAAATTGCACATCAGGAAAAGCTTCTTAAAGAAAAGGATGCAAAATACTGGAATATATTGGCTAGACTGCTGAATCTCCGAACCTGGAGGTCTCCAAGAAAAGTCAGAACTGTCAGTAAAAGCAGTGAGGGGCTGGAGCAGAGGGATTAACTACTTACACTCCTGAATGATTAAGCTACAGCTCACAGCTGAGGTAGAGGAGTGCTCAGGTGAGGGGCAGCAGCAGCCTAGCGAAGAAAAACAGGAAGGGAAGGAAGCAGCAACCACAAATCCCACTATAAAACAGGAGAACCACTACGCCAGATGGCCTCCTACAGAGTAACTTACCTACCCTACTATGACAGCTTAGATACTGTTCCACATGTCAAGAACAGATCTCATTTGCCAGTATAAAACTGAATAGGACAATTGAGGGTGTTAAATTAGCTTTCTTACTTTTGGCCCCACTACCTCAAGTACTTAATTTTCTGCTCCTTGTAGAAAAGACTAAACAAACAGCTGTACCAAAACCACCTTTAAAATCTTCTGAGATTAATTTATTATAGACCAAGTGGGAGAAAAACCCTTTGCTAAAACTGAGTCCGGTACATCATCCATTTCCAAATGAACTAAGCTTACTTCTTACAAATGCCCACTTAATGAACTGAACATAACTGAAACAGCACTGTGTTCTAACAAAGCTCAAACGTAAAAAAACCACCACATTTTTTACCCTGCTTAACATTACTTACCCTGCTGAATCCAAGTTTCCATGGCTCATTCTTTAGTATCTCATCCAATTTAGTTAGCATCTTGTCTTGAAAGTGTACTTCCTCACCATCTGCATCATTGTTTTCTTCAGTCTTTCTGTGCCAATGCACCAAATCCAACAGAGAGCAAAAATGGCGCGGCAGAAGAACCGGCAAGAATTCCAGCAGCAACGGAAAAGTCAGAGCTACCAACACCGCCTTGCCTGCCACTGTATGCACCATAAACCAAGAACATTTTAAGTAATATACAAAGATATTTGTAAAGGCAATTTAAACTGACTCTGGCTTTTATCTTTCTGCCTCCCCTACACCCAAAGCATCCCAAATTTCTTTCAGTTTCTTATTCTTTGTAATCCTTTTCAAATTTTCTTAAAGTCTGTTTTCCCTGAACTGTCTTGGGAAAAAATAATGTAAACAGATGACATAAAAACTGCAACTAAATGTACTCATATGGAAAATATGCATTAGACACTTGGTTTAAACTGCATACTCAGTAGCATATTGTAGAAAGTCAGCTCAGACCTCACCACACCTGGCTCTTTAAAGATAATTTCCAGATGTACAGAAGAATGTTTAAAATCCAAAATAAGAAAAGAGGCTTCTAAATTTGTATCAGATCAGTGAACAAACTTAGGAACAGTGTTCTCCACTGGCTTTCTCAATGAAGCCAAAATTAAGCTATGCCTTTCCTCATTTGGATCAGTCTTGGGAATCCTGCAAAAGGGGTATAATAAAACTGATTTTCTCTTCAGCTTGCTTTAAAAAACAAATTTCAGAAGAAAGTGAAACTTCTCAAATTTTTATCTCTTGGCAAGAAAAAAAAAAACCAACAACAATGCAATTTTGAATTAAGTGTTAAGGAAGTTTCTTAATTCCAAATTTAAACCACCAATTTTTCGCAGGTAAGCGTTTTTCTGATCGCTGTCTTACCTACAGAAAGGCAAAGATAAAACCTTTAAAGGAAGTACTTTTAAAAAACCAACTTTAAAGGCAAGTCTAAAACTTTACAGCAAATACTTAATTTACACGTAGAAAATCAACACATGACATTTCCACACATGGTACTTCCACATCATGGAGGCTTGAAGAACAAACTGCTCAAGTCCATAACAATTAATGACAACCAGAAACAAATTACAATAGTAGTAACAGCAGCATGACATACGGGTTGGGGGGAGTGTTTTCTATTGCCCCATGATAGAGAAAGAAGAAAGCTTAATTTGTAGCAAATTAAGCTAAATTATGAATTAGGGAAAATCCACGAACTACCAGAACAGTGACCAGGACGCCTAAGCACACTGTGCAATCTTCACCCCTGAAGATTCCTGAACATACTGGACACGCCTCAATCAAAAGTGATCCATATATCCCATCAAAACTCACACAGCAGACTAGAGCTGCGTTTCTACCACTATCGATACCCACCCCTTTGTGGTCACAAAATGACCTGAAGTCCATAAACAGGGGCTAAACACTTTTCTACCATTACAAAAACAGAACGAAAAGCCTGAAAGTCCATAGGACTGTGAAAATTTTCCTCTTTACACATGTGATTTGGAGTAAAGTCAGCTCAAACACAGCAGAAGCTTTGACTTCTCCTGTTAGAAACGATCTGACCTCCAGAACAGTCACCTCCATGTTTTGACCTGACACTGCCCAGTAACCCACATACTGGAAGACTTCATTTGCTTGCATGTAACAGTAGGTAGAGCCAACCTGCCTGTAGAGATTTATGCACAGCTGTGGCTGAATTTAAAAGACCTCCTCCAATTCAGAGTACTGAGTCTCATGGCACTGACACCCAAGTGGCTCTGTACAGCACCAACCCCAGACTGCCTACGTCCACACCAGGAACATCATATAACAGAACCGGGTCATTGGAGTGAAACAAGACAGCTAATGCTGAAGACACGTCTCAGATGTCTTGACTTTCTGCATTTCAGCATTCTGCTTCAGCCCAGCTATAGTTTGGTGCCACAGTCAATGCCCATTAAGGGCTGGAGTACCTTAGGTGTGCAACTGGAACACATCTTTTGGGTTTCATCCAGCAGGGATACAGTCAATAGTCTTGGAGACTGCAACACAACGGGGACAAGAGGGATGTTGGCTTCCAAAGCACACTCTTGATCCAGTCTCCAACACTCATGTAGTCACACCAACACAGCCCACAACAGGACCCTCAGCAGTCCTGCACTATCTCCACACAGGGACAGGCCAGTGTTTCCGCCCCAGCCGTGCCAACCTGCTGATGGGCAGGACACAAATACACTAAGATAGCCTATGTAGTGCAGCTGACACAGACCACCCTGAGCTCATTCCCTGTTCCCCTGGCTACAAAGCAGCAGCTGAACTATTTCTGAACACGTATTTATCTTAAAAAGCCATACCACCACGTTTAAGCAGCGCTGAACCCATTTTTTAATAAGCCTTGTTGCATCTGAATAAACTATAGGAAGGCAGCACCAGAGTCTTTGCATCCCTAGCACAGACAATTCCACTTAGTCAGCCTGCAGAATTCAGAGAAGTCCTTACGTATTTCTAACTCTATGCCTATCTTTAAATGGTCAATTGTCCCCCTGTCCTCAAATTTAAAAAAAAAAAATCTTTTAAATTGTATGCTCAAAATTAATTTGAATATACACTTTATATGAAGACACACTAGCTTGAACAGTATCCGAGACAGAACTCATTAGCTTATAAAACAATCAAAATAGCACAAGATATACCTACATGATTTTGAAACATAGTAGAAGATGTCATAATCCTTGGTGTCTCTTTGTTTCTTCCTTGTCCGTAAGTGTGCAACTTGGAACTGGTTTAGTTTTTCTTCAAGATTTCTAAAACTCAGCATAAAGTCCATAGGAAGCCAAGTAAAAAACTTTTCTTTAAAATCCTCAGGAACAGCACATTCCTTAAGAAAGAGTGAAAAGACTTGTCGGTTGTTTTCTTCTATATCAGTCCGCAGAAAATACGATGGGTATCCTTGCACAAAGTACTTCGACCCCATTTTTTTAGCTTTAACATTAACTCTCCACCAAGGGTCAACTAATGGAAAACGTCCAACTACTTCATACTCCTTTTTGGAGTGTTCTTCTTGTATAACAACTGAATCATTAAAAAGAAAAATAAAACCATTGTTAATCAATAGTCATAAAGATTAAAAGTTTGGTGTGATTAAAAACGTTTTATCTGTACAAAGCTTATTTTTGTCTTTTGTCTTGTTTCAGTAGCAAAAGTAAAGCAGGGGTTTTCATTAACTTCCTGATGTCAGTCTTTCCAGGAGTATTTAAAAACGAAAGCAAAAGCCAGCCCCAGAAACAAGCACTAAAGCTGCTTCTCTAAGTGTCAGAACTACAAAATTAAACTTACATACGTATATTTATTAAGCCAATTAAACACATTGGCATATGGCTTAGTATTACACCCTTTATGCCAAGTCAAGTTTACAGTTCAATTTTAAACAGTTTTACCACAAAATATTGCATGATGGTGCCTGCATCCTCCTCAGATACATTTGTATGCTAACTGAAACCACCAAATTTATAACCAATTAATATAAGAAACTCTTAACGTTTTGTATGACCTGGTTTGCCTCCCCTTTCCATCCTCATTCCCTCACAAAAATGAATACACTGCTCCATAATCCATAATTGGGGACTAAATTACATGACCAGAACAAAGGAGCACCCATGTGTAGCAGGACTTCTTTCTCACCAAACCAGAGTACCAGCAGCTCTTAGGTCTACAGCAACTTGTGTATTTATTTACCCCTTGTTACCCACCTCAATGTAGCCATTTTTAAAACAAGTTTTGGATCAAATACTATTGCTAGGCAGAGTATTTTGCTCCAACGTCACCTGCTCTTCTAAGCACTGAACAGAATGTAGGGAATCACTAATATCAAGTATCAATGCTCTTGCATGTCATAAAGGAGAAAAATGAATGTATTTTTTGTGTAAAGTTAACTTGGCTGGAAAAACTTTGTTTTCTCGCTGTTGCACACATGGCCGTACTTCTACCACCTGTGCAGGATTTATCCCCTGCTTCGCATCGCTTCCCCTTCACTCGTTACCGGTTCAGTAACCGGGGAAGGAGCCAGTTTCGATTTGACTGTCGTTTGCACCCGCAGACACGCCCCTGCCGGTCCCGGGGAGGAGCAGGCTGCCCGGCACCGGGCCGAACCCCAGGCCCTCGGCCCAGCCACCTCTCCACAGCCGCCCGAGGGCCGAGCCCACCGCAGACGCCGGGTCCAGCCCACTCGTTCCAAACGCAGCGCCCCGGGCCGAGCCCGAGCCCGCCTCCGAGGGAGGCCGCGGGCAGAGGAGGGCACCGAGGGCCGCCCGCCCGCCGCCCGGCCCCCAGCCGCCCCTCACCGGCT